TTATTTTGATATATCACAGTGAAAGATTTATCGTCCTCTTTTTTTTTTTTTTTTTTTTTTTTTTTTTAAAAAAAAAAAAAAAAAAAAAAAAAAAAAAAGAAGAAGAAGAATTAAGTATAAATTATTTCTTAGAAAGATGTTATATTTCCTATTACTGTTCCAGTTCACATTTTGCATGTTTTCTTTTCTTTCTTTTTAAAACTATTTTTGAGGCAGGTCTCCCTGTAGGACCGGCTGGACTAGAACTCTCTGTGTAGACCAGGCTGGCTCAATGTTACAGTTGCTTGTTTGCCTCTGCCTCTCTCCTAAGTGCTATAATTAAAGGCATGTATTTGTTTGTATGTTCTTAATGTACATTTTGACATTTTTTTCAGATTTAATATGTAAATGAAAATATATGAATTTGTTACTATTGAAAATAATTTTAATTTTGAGAACTAAATATTTTTTAGGTTCCAGATTAATACTAATCACTTTTTAAAACAGTTTGCTAAACTTTCATGAGAGAAGTGTAAGCAGAAGGAATCAATGCCTGTGTTCTGAAATAGGGAGTGGAAAGTGTAGAAAGATGAGATATGGCAGGTTTCTGCTAGACAATCCATGGGGCCATGAGCAAATCATTTCATACTTATCTTTAACATCATAGAACCGCATTATCCTAACTTGAAAAATATTGTTGAGGGCTGGGGAATGGTTCAGCCAGTAAAGTGCTTGTCCCAAAGGCATGAAGACCTAGGTGAGATGCCTAGGTCCCACACAGAAAAGCCAGACGTGGTCAGTACATGCCTGTAATCTCAGTTCTAATGGAGTGGAGAGAGGAGAATCTATGGGACTTGCTGGTCAGCCAGTCTAGCTGAATAGAATCAGTGAGCTCTGGGTTCAGTGTGTTGGCCCGTCTCGAAATCTATGGTAGAGAGTGATGGAGGACAACCAGCACTGACCTCTGAACTCCACGCATACCTGCGTACACATAAACATGTTAGCCCCACCCCCACCCCGCACATACACATACAATGCTGCTGATAATTTCTGCCTTAAGAATTGTTTTGAAGTTCCAATAAGAGAATCTGCAAAAGCACATT